TTTTTTTTAAAGTCGTCAATCTATAGAAGAGTCGTGGGAAGAGGTTAGAGATTGTAGCAATGAGAGTTGGGTAATTCGCACGGAGAAGATCATTAACCCAATGCCGAGATTCCCGCCGTGGCTATAATCGTAAATGTGCAATGAACGAGACACTAGTGTCGAGTAGAATAGAATAGATATATGAGGGTTCTCAGGATAGTATTATTGAAGGGCTGAGGTGACAATAGGGTTGCCGACTTCTGACAATGCTGATGAATCATTTTGAACGGAAGATTCAATTACATTTTGCCAACTATAAGCTGCTGTGATTGTTATCTCAGTGATTGACCAGGGGTTGATAGTGGGGATGCAGTAAAATGACCTCTTGGTTATTGGTAGAAGCTCGTGATCGCTCGTAACTCGTCTCTGAAATTCTTCTGCTAACGATGGATATATCTACTATATAAAGTAGGGTATAAGACTTTGGTTCGCAAAGTCCTTCTATTACGCATTTCCGACTCGCTGGACCGGAAACGACGAGATAAGACAGTGGCTCTAGTCACTTTGATGATGCTAGTATGACATAAACGTTGAAATATTTTTATGAGCCTCACATTTTATCCATATTTAATTCACTGTTGATCTGTGATTGTTTTTTTAGTGATGTGGGATACTCGTGAGATTGATAAATATAAAAAAATTTTGCCACTTGTGTTTGGTTTTGATGGGCAAGCAGAGAGAGAGACTCTTTGTGCTTCTTTTCAAATTCTACACAGACACTGGATTCACTATCCATCCAGCTTTCTCTCTTTCTCCCCTCTCTCAGCACCGTGGATCATTTCGAAGATGAATTCCCTCCTTGTATTTTTCTCATCCCCTCTTTTCATCCCCTCATTTTCTTTCAACTTATCTTTCGGTTTTTCTTTCCCTTTGGACGAAAGAACACACGTAGCAAAGAGCCAATGTCGGTTTCGACTACCCGAGTGGAACGTATAAAATATATCTCACGTGATACAAGTGAATTTCTACCTTGTTTATTTCCCGAGACGTAAAAATATTGAGTCTGAAGAACCTCTGTGATTTTTTATCAGGTTTTTGCGAATACTTCATCTTCCATGGTTTTTATTCGTGGTATCTTGTAGAGATGGATAGGTGGAATCCAATCAGAACAAATGTATTATTCAAATAAATCGAGCGTCAAATTTTTATTAGTTTCTTTCAACGGTGAATTACTCTATTAAATCATAGTTTTTACTTAGGAGATTCTCTGTTATTCTCAAAGAGTCGGGGCTCATTAGCATTTTAATATTCTTGAATAGTTGAGGGAGAGAGTAGGCATAGAGTTGATTCATAAATGTTTTTACTATGTTGTGGACATGGTAATCTCGCCAATTTCATTCTCTCGGTGATGAGTTAGGGAGTTGGGTTGGATGGAAGTCTTTCTGCTTATCTGCATAGTTTCTTCGGCTTTAAATCATTGGTAGGACAGGACGAAAACTGGGACACGCGATCCCCCATCTTCCTTCCTTCCTTGAGGCTTTTCAATGTGTGGCCCGGTAGATTCCTCAGGATGAATTCGAAATAATGAACTTTGGAGGGCTTCTCCTTTGAGAGTATACACGTCGTTGGTGCATTTGGCGTTATGAAGAGGTACCTTTGAACATCATTGAACATAAGATTCTCAGAGACTTATGAAGTGTTCTCTTTCATTTAGAAGAAATATTTAAGCAGTGAATTAAATCGATAGTCGGAACTATAGATAGTTACAAGTGGAATCATAAATATGGGGAATTGTGGCTTTTTCGAGGGAGAAAAATAAATGGAAAGATTCAAGTGAATATTGATTTGAAATATTTTTCTGTGGGCATAGCAGAGATGAATGAATGAAATAGCTTTGGTATTGGTATAAATGTTGATGGGAGAATTGGTGGATAGGAAATGATGCCTGCAGTGCAGCCATTCCGTCACGTTTATCGGAGAAAACCGCTGGTACATGAGTCATAATGGTCTAAAATTTGTAAATCGTGGAATACATTTTCAATTCCCTCTTTTCATGTGGGCTCAACTTTAGTCGGATATTAATTCTCCCAATTATGGGAGAAATACTCTAGTCGATTGGATTTGTATGCTCTCGACGATGTACGAATCGTACTCTTATTCTCGGTTTTTTGAACACCTGCGGCTGTTTATTTAGGACTCGAAGGAACTACTACCTCGCTAATTGACTTGGGGGGGTCACACCCCCAGCCGACTTATTAGTGCGTCTGGACTGGCATTTTAAAACTGGATTACCACCTCATCACCTTTGGTACCTTTTTTTTTTTCATTTGTCCGGTTTTCTCTTTCTCAATATTTTCCCAAGAATTCAGCGGTTACGGCGGATTTCACAGTCCAATTATTTCATTCTCATTTTTTTTTTCACACGTTTGTGGTCATGAGTTTGTGTTCATGAGTTTTTTAATATCAACTCCAGGGCGAATATATGCAAAATCAGGTGTTGCTATTATATCGCATATCATGTAGTTGTCCTTGCTAATAAATTAGCAATATACTGGGAAAAAAGAAAATTCTTCTGCTAAGTATATTTACTAGTGGAAAGAAACTCCCGAAAGTTGTGGAAAGAAAATTAATTTCTTTGCGTGGAGAAATGGCAATTTTGTCCGAATGAAATCGAAGATTGATGAAATCGATTTTGGTGACGGCGATAGATAGGGCCCAATGAGACCTACATTTGAAAAAAAAAAAGAAAAGTCAATTAGGTGGAGATGAGAGTGAGCAATCAAAGAAATTGAATGGAAGAAAATATTGCATACACTGAGAGAAATATTCAATAAAAATTACGTGTATTTTCCGTAATTCTGGAGCGAAATGTGGTTGTCGGAAATTTTACGGAACTGTCACGTAATTTTTATCTAAAGTCACGGAATTTCTTCGCGGTGTTCCGTAATTTTTATCTGAATTATCGGTGAAAAATAACAATACCGTCACTTAAATTTTTCGAATCAACTCCGTAATCGGTAAGTAAACTGAAAGTTCCGTAATTTTTACTAAATATTTCTCTCCGTGTACACGTACACATACATACATACATTCGGGCAGTGTCTACAAAATGCATTTTCGATTTCCCTGGGTTGATACATGAAAAAAATGGGAAACTTACATTTTGTCGATTACAAAGCGTCCGTTGGGAAGCAAAAAATAGCTAGTAAAATTTGGAGACGAAGGAAAATTACTTGAGAGTGCTTGTGTACTCGGTAATGTTGACTTTTGGATTAAAATAACGAATAGGAATGGATTTATAGACGGAGTAGTATGAGAGGGGGTGTGATGGGGGGCAGGCCTGGTGGATGGGCAATTAGTTAATTGAGTTGATCGATGGATTTCGTTGGGGCGACGCGCACCGACTCGACGTCTGATTGAGAGCTTCCACTTCATCCGTGTGAAATGCGTAATTCGTGTACGTACATTGAACGTATGTGTCGTGTTTAATGCCATATAGACGGTTTGTCTGTATGAAATTGGGATGGTGGATGATGAGGGGGTAGGGGGCTGGTTTGTCGGGGGAACAAAGGTACATGGCCATTCGATATCCACACTATCCTCTTTGCCTCTTCCCCCTCATCGCCCATATCTGCATTGGTTCTCGTCATCAAGCCGATACGTAGTAGACTGTCAAGTGGTGGTTTGAGTTTGTCGTTAAAATTATCGAAATTGTCGCTTTGTGTATTGATACTGAATTTTCATAGTTTGTTTGATTGATCTGGCTGGTGCAAAACAATATAGCCGCTCTGTTACTAATTGCGTGAATTTTCATTTTGATAAAGTTATGGGTATTAGTGGTATGGATTTTCAGATGAAAATCTCGGTTTGTTTATACACGATTGAATTTAAAAAACGATCTGTTGGGAGAGGGGGGGGCATTGGAGTTGAGCTTTCGCGAAATCTAATTTTGAAGGTGTACGTGAAAAGTACTAAAAGAGAAGTGAGGAGGGACGGATATATCGATGGAGTAGGAGTAGAGGTGTAGGAATTTGAACTGTGAAAAGCGAAGGGAGGGGTCTATTGGCCATGGAGTGAATACAAGTGGCAGTGTGTATGGGGTCTAACATAAGATGTATGTATATAGTATATAGTGTGACATTGGGATGGTAGTGGGATGCTGAAGCGCAAGACGCGCGGTTGCACGCAGCAGTTACGTGACCGGCGTGACGATTATGCAAATGGCCGGTTGCTTCCGAGTTGAGCCATGCGTGATTTAGTGCGGGAACACCGGAGATAAGGACGGACGGGTTTAAGGTAGCTAGGGAGGCCGGTATAATGAACTGGTTAATCGGAAAGAGACGTATTACTGGTTGTTGTTTTTTTTTTGTTTTGCCGCTGAGATTAGTAGTACTTGATGGTTAGTAAAAATGGGGAGCCCTTTCCCTGACCAAGGTCAAGCCGACTCCACGTGCGTCGCCCTCAACTGTATTCTCGAAAACGATCAAGTAGTGCAGTCCCGTACTGAGTCAGCCTCGCGGGGTGGTGAAGAGGGAGATGGTTAGGG